ATTGATTACATTGAGTTTGAAAAGGCCATTACAGATAAAACCTTTTCCTATAAAATTATTACTCTTTGTAATCACAAATCTGTTGGATTCTTTTACAATCCTATAACCAGTTCTAAGAAGAAGAGATTCACTAATCAAATTTCGACGGAGAGAAGGAACAAGGTAGACGCCTTGCAGATGTAGGGCTTTCCCAGAAGTCATAGTGAGCTTTATACTTCCACTTCCTATTATTGGTTTAGTGGAGTCATCTGCTAAGCTTATGCTTCCTCCACGTGATTCCTGATAATTTGAAAACCAAGAGCGATCATTACAGACGTGTATATTTGCTCCGGAATCCAGATACCAATCAGTGGAAGAAGTTAGAGAATTTACAAGATGAGGTGATGGGGCTAACCTGAAGGAGGTTGGATTCTCTTCAATCATATTAACTTTATTTGATCCATTTCCTTTAGAGGCAGGTTTAGCCGGTTCCTTCTTCCGAAAGAAACAGTTGGAAGAAATGTGGTTGGTTCTACCACAGACAAAGCAGAACTTTCCATCAGACTTATGGCTGGAAGAATTGGAATTGGAAGAATTTGATTTGAAGGAAGATTTATTGAAAGATTGTTGGTTTTTCTTGAATTTCTTCCATTTGGGTTTGAAATTTCTAGATTTAGGCTTTTCCTCTACCAAGTTTACTTTAGCTTTTGATTCATTCTTGGTTTTGGAATTTAGCCTATGCTGGTCTTCAATACGAATGGCCTTGAGGGCCTCAGTTAAGGTTAGATCTCCTTGCTTGTGTCGGAGATCTCCAGCAAATCTAGACCAGGAAGGAGGGAGTTTATCAATCAAACAGGAAACTTTATAGTCATCAGTAAAAGTGTTTCCTTTTGATTGGAGATGACGGATGAAATCTAAAAATTCATGAATTTGTTCATTAATGGGCTTGTCATCTACCATCATGAACTTATTGAAGGACGAAGAGGTGAAACGCAGAATTCCGGCATCATCATAGCCATATTCTGCTTCAAGAGCTTGCCATAGGTCTTTTGCACTTTTGAACTCATAGTATATGTCATAAAGGTTGTCTGCAAGTGCACTAAGAATTCTATGACAACAATGATAATTAATATCTTCTGGTTTCATAGAGCTAGAAAGAGAGCTAGCACCTGAACCAGAAGTGGAAGGAACAGACTGTTCAGGATCAGGAGTCAAAGGTTGAGTACCACTAGTAGAAGACTCAGGAAAGTCAATGGCTGATAAGAGACCTAAGGTAGTGAGCCAGTATCTCATCTGATTAGCCCACCGTTTATAGTTGATACCGGTGAACTTCTCAGGTTTGACACTTTTTGAATGATCAATTGCCATAAGTCCAATTTGAGTTTTACTAGTCTAGGTAGTTGAAATCTGAACAGGGTAAGAATTTTATTAATACTACTAGACCAGAAACTTAATTAAACCTGCTCTTAACCAAAAACTCTAAAAGTGAAAAGATTAAAGTTTTACTCGGGTAGTTTGGCCAGGTAAGGATAGTACTAGAGGTTGATCAATGATCGATTGCTGTCAAATAAAACAATATTAGGTTAACTGAAAATAAATGAGTTATGAAAATCAGGCCTGAACGGGGTGCAGTCGTGATACACTGCCCTAGAAGATAGAGGACCCGCCTGTCGCCCTGGCGTAGTCGATCCTCCCCCCTAGCGGTAAAAGCCCCCGGAAACGGCCGGCCTCTCTACTCGGGCGCGAGTAGCAGAGCTTCTGCTCAGATGAAGATGTTGCCCAATAAAATAATCCGCAAAAATATGTAGCCAAATATCTGAGAGTAGAAGGAGGAAGAGAGCTATGAAATTCTTTGTGAATTTCTGTGTGTTTTTCCGAATGAACTCTGCCTCCTTATATAGCCTCATGAACCAGTAACCGCTGCTGAATCTCCTCGTCCGTTGGGCGTAAATCACGCTTGCCGTTACATAATAAATGCTGCCGTTACAGAACGTGTAAAACGTGCAAAATTAAAAGCTTGAGAAGCAAAAGGGTGTGCGTGTGCGGCTGCGGCGTGGCGTGGCGCGCGTGCGGGCGAGGCGAGGCGTGGCGTGGCGAGGCGAGGCGTGGCGTGCGTGCGCGCGCGCGCGCGTGTGTGGTAGAAACGTAAAGCCCACAAAACCCAAAACACTATTCAAAGCCCATTAGGAAGTAAACCATTATAAACCACTTGAACTTCTTCTCAACTTCCAATGTGGGACTATTCACAAGGCAAAATTGCCTTTTCCTTAAGAAATGCTAACAGATACTAAGTGTGCCCGAACTGGTAGTGAACTGGTTCCTAATCCTAAAGGAACTAATCCTCTACTCTCTATATATGCACTTATGTGAAGATTAAACATATAGAGAAAAACACACTATTGTCATATCCCTCCTCTTCATCAATTTTATAATTTACGCGTTAGTTGCGAGTGACATGCATGTTGGGGCTTCTCCCCATATCAGTATGGTTGCTCTCTGGTCGTTGCTCTAAGATCAAGATTAGGTGTGTGTCAATCCTTGCCTAGATTCAAGACAGGTAGTCTCTTAACAAAGAGATTTGTATTCAATACGCGATCATATTAATTTTACAAAAGGAAAAGGAAAAAAATAATATATATCTTTTTTCTAGAAAAACCAAAACCTAGAAAACATCCTCCTACTAAGAAATAAGATCCTACGTATCAAACCTCAACCAAAAAAAAAATTTGTTTGCTCCTCCAGATTAGACGGTCAATACCTACCTAAAATAGAAAGAAGATATTCAATCGCGATTTTTTGAGGATTTGGATCCTCTCCACTACAAAAAAATAGTGGAGAGACCACTACTTTTAATCTCAAGCGTTGATTATTTAGTAGGCGGTTATGATACAATCTAAATCTAACACTTACCATACCCCCGTGTATTGCACTCATTCCTAATTTGCACTAAAAGAAAAAATCATAACCATCAACTAGATAATCAATGGCTATGATTATGTAGTGGTCCCTCCACTATTTTTTTTTTTTAGTGAAGAGGATCCGAATCCATTTTTTGAGGCCCGAATCGATGTAATTTCGCTAAACCAGTGGAGGTCAAATGTGTTGCCCTTAGCATCCTATTAAGCCCTGACGAGTTTGTAAGAGCTTCGAAATGACTGGTCTTTTATGTGATTCCAACGAGTTTGAAGATCCACCGATTTTCACTCTTACGCATTTAGGGTCAATCTAGCCCATAAAGGTTAAAGCCACCTCTATGATTGCATCAGTATCTCTCTGGTTACTATATCCATTCGCTGAAGTTGTCGTCTTTATCCTCCTAAAGTGTATTTACTCATTTCTTACTACTTGTATAATTTTATGTGCAATTCCTCTATAGCATTTCTGTTCTTTTTTCCGAGAGTTCTTAAAGAAAATTGGAAAATGTTGAAGCCAAAAAAGCGATGGAAGACAACAAATCCAGGTAAGGAAAGAAGAGGGAAGACAGAGAAGCATCATTGTCGA